ATAAGCACGGTTCATGTCTTGCAAAAGTATAGTCATCAAAATTTTAGTCTATGTAATACAGCAGTGGCGTGCATCCTAGAGCGCCAGCTAAGGTTTTTTTTTCTGGGTGCCACAGACCCACCCAATGGTGCTGACTTTTTTGGGTTAAAGACCCACTTTTCCATTGAATGTGGCTCGCTGGCTGAGCTGCGCTCGCAGTAACTTTTTTCGCAAATTTTTTAATCCAATTTTTTGAACTTTCCCTATCAACAATCTTAGAGATTGGACTAAATATTACATTCCATAATTTAGGACTTGAAGTTGATGACCTTCTTCCGTCAGAATAATTATATGTACTATAATTCATATATGCAATATTCTACCACATTTTGGTTGATAATTTGATTTCCAAAGTCCACTCATACATATGTGGAAAACTTACAAATACCCCTTAAAATGCTGGCTTTATACTTATAGTATAAAGATGTATAGGGTCAGGGACGTAGCCAGGATTTTTATTTGAGGGGGGCTGTCGGGGATCGAAGCTAGCCGACGCGTCCAATCCAGCTGCGCAGCGAGCGAAGCTAGCAAGCTGTGGCAGGGGTCTGGGGGGCGCAGCCCCCCGGAAAATTTTTGCGAAACAGGGTGTTTTAGACGACATTTGGCATTAAAGAAATTTGTAGGACAGCAATAAACTGGGACTGAAAAGAATCAAGTACTCACGTACAGGGACGTAGCCAGGATTTTTCTTTGAGGGGGGCTGTTGGCAAGCGAAGCGAGCCGACGTGTCCAATCCATCTGCGCAGCGAGCGAAGCGAGCAAGCTGTGGCAGGGGTCTGGGGGCGCAGCCCCAAGCGGGGTCCAGGGGCGGAGCCCCTTGGCGGGGGCTAGGGGGGCGCAGCCCCCCGGAAATTTTTTGCGAAACAGGGTGTTTTAGACGACATTTGGCATTAAAGAAATTTGTAGGACAGCAATAAACTGGGATTGAAAAGAATCAAGTACTCACGTAAAGTTGGTAACTTCACAACAGCAATCTGCATTCTCCAATCAGAATTTACGACTTACTCAGGCCTCATCGTCTTAAAATTTTTACATTTCCTACGGTCTAGGGGACACTATTGACTATTTATAGAAGTCTTCTAGAATGTTTGCTTGGATGTTATGACAGATATTTACTAATGACTAATCCACAGTTCAAATCGTTGACTGACTGCAGTCATAAACACAGCCCAGTTACCAGGTGACCATGGGGGAGTAGACACACAGTTGATAACAACAGACCTACTATCAATATCAACAGACCCACTATTTCATCTTACAGACCCACAAGTCAATCCACAGACCCATTTCAGAGTAGCAAAGACCCACTATTAAGCGAGTAGACACACACTTAATAACAATAGGCCCACTATTTGACCTTACAGACCCACTGCCAATAACAACAGACCCACTTTGTAACCTTACAGACCCACAAATAAATCTACAGACCCATTTCAGAGTAGCAAAGGCCCACTATTAAGCGAGTAGACACACACTTAATAACAACAGACCCACTATCAATATCAACAGACCCACTATTCCACCTTACAGACCCACAAGTCAACCTACAGACCCATTTCAGAGTAGCAAAGACCCACTATTAAGCGAGTAGACACACACTTAATAACAACAGACCCACTATCAATATCAACAGACCCACTATTTCATCTTACAGACCCACAAGTCAATCTACAGACCCATTTCAGAGTAGCAAAGACCCACTATTAAGCGAGTAGACACACACTTAATAACAACAGACCCACTATCAATATCAACAGACCCACTATTTCATCTTACAGACCCACAAGTCAATCTACAGACCCATTTCAGAGTAGCAAAGACCCACTATTAAGCGAGTAGACACACACTTAATAACAACAGACCCACTATCAATATCAACAGGCCCACTATTTCATCTTACAGACCCACAAGTCAACCTACAGACCCATTTCAGAGTAGCAAAGACCCACTATTAAGCGAGTAGACACATACTTAATAACAACAGACCCACTATCAATATCAACAGGCCCACTATTTCATCTTACAGACCCACAAGTCAATCTACAGACCCATTTCAGAGTAGCAAAGACCCACTATTAAGCGAGTAGACACACACTTAATAACAACAGACCCACTATCAATATCAACAGGCCCACTATTCCACCTTACAGAGTTACAGACCTTAAGTCAATCTACAGACCCATTTCAGAGTAGCAAAGACCCACTATTAAGCGAGTAGACACACACTTAATAACAACAGACCCACTATCAATATCAACAGACCCACTATTTCATCTTACAGACCCACAAGTCAACCTACAGACCCATTTCAGAGTAGCAAAGACCCACTATTAAGCGAGTAAACACACACTTAATAACAACAGACCCACTATCAATATCAACAGGCCCACTATTTCATCTTACAGACCCACAAGTCAACCTACGTCCTACAGACCCATTTCAGAGTAGCAAAGACCCACTATTAAGCGAGTAGACACACACTTAATAACAACAGACCCACTATCAATATCAACATTCAACAGACCCACTATTCCACCTTATAGAGTATAGACCCATGTAAGTAAGTCTACACTATAATAAAACACATCCAAGCTATCAACAGGCCCACTATTTGAGCATGTACAGACCCTCATTAACCATGGTCAATTCAATCCTAACCTCACCCCCCCCCCTCCCCCCCCCCCCCCGCCCCCCCCCCCAAGAAACTATGTTTTTTTTCGTTTCAGCCAATTTTAATTTTTCGATGAAAAAATTTGAGGCAAGGGTGCTGGCACCCTTGGCACCCAATAAAAAAAAACCTTAGCGCCAGCATTGAAGCCGACGATCGAATGTTCAACTCAGCGTACTGGCATGTTAATTTTTTTGCTCAGATCACTCTGAGCAAAATCATTTTTCATGATAAATATAACATAAACAAAACTGACATGGGCCTTGCTAGGTAACTCGAGCAGCGGTAATTTGCCGATGAATTTTAGCAAGCTAGTGAATAAGTAGATAGTGTATTAAAGATACAAAGATAGTAATCTTGATTTGACCTGGATTTCAGCTATTTTGGGATGGGCGTGGCCCCTGGGAGTGGCCTGAGTGGGTTGGGAGGTTGAAACTTGATTTTTCTGATGGTTTGGGACAGGAACTAACTATTTAAACCCCTAAACCTGTTACAAATACCCCGGAACATAAATCCCCATACAGGGGTCAAATCCCCTACAAATCCCCTACAAAAATCAAGGAAACGTGCTAGTTGTATTAGATATGATTGAGAGACTATTTACCTTGATCCCTTCCTATTAGTAAGTATCACTATGCTCTTCTTAGAAGATTCTGTTAACAATAGCAGGTCTTATGATTTTGTCACAATTGAAACTGGCTGTTTGTGGCAGATTGTCCGCCGAGAAGCATCGTTGTCGCAAGCTATGGCACCAGACATGGCCCTGGATCAAAATGTTAGTTCGAGAGGTCGATGCAACTTCTAAATTAAACAGTCATCCCATTAAACATCGTGCAAAATCTTACAAAAAACTTTTACACTGAATCGCCAGTTTCAAGTGTGAGCACTTTAATTGGGAGTATTACATAACAGCACAGTAATGTATAGAAATATTGTACTTCAACTTAATTGTTTACATACAGTCCCTATATCAGTACTTTTGTTTAGTACTATAGTACTAAACAAACTCGAAATTGATTAATCGAGTAATTGAGCATTATATGCGATGCTAATTTAAGCCAAATAAGCACTTTTTACCAAAATATGGACATTAAAATTTTCTATAGGACATCTCCCAAGTAGCTCAGCGGCTAGAACGTCCTTCTGTAGAGCGGACGGTTGGTAGTTCTATCCCACGTGACTGCTGATTGAGCTTTTGCCCAAATCACTTCTGAGCACACATTTTTTTTTCATGATAAATAGAAAATAAACTTTTGAACCTAGCGAACCAGTAGCATGAGAAAATAATTCAGATAGTAACAAAAACTTAGGTAATCCTAGTGCTCAGGATTGAGGACCTAATGAAGAATCGTCTGAAAATATCGGAAATCGACGAAATTCACGACTAGCTAAAAAGGACTATCTGAAAATTGAATCCGGAAAATCACTTGCCAGTTACAAATAGGCTAGGCTTCGATTAGATAACCGATTCCAGTAATCAGTATCAGTAACCAGTGCAGACTGCAGAAGAAAAGAAGATATTTATCGCACTCCACTCTTTCTGCTGTTCTTACTGTGTTTCATCTCTGTTTCAGTGTCATTAGCCGCTGCTGGTTCTATCCTGAATGCTTGTTAAACCGGGGACCTGTATAAATATATAAGTTACAGTTATTTTTTAAAGTTACAAATATCAGCTGATTTGCAAAATGCAGCAATTCAAGAATTCGGAAGAAGAATTTTGAAATTTCGCGCAAAAGTATTTTCCAAATCGCATCTTTTGGAGTTAAGGTTAACTCAAAAAGATGCCATTTGAAAACGCATTTTAAGATTTTACGACTTTATCCGTCAAACGGCATCTTTTGGCGTTAAGCTTAGCGCCAAAAGATGCAATTTGGGGATAAATCTCGATTATTTCAAGTCAAAATTATTTGACACGACGTCAAATCGCATCTTTTGGAGTTAAGCTTAACGCCAAAAGATGCGAATTACGAAAAAATGTCCATGCTGTCACGGGGCCTACCTTAGAAAAGTTTTTATTCGATTTTGAAAATCTTGGACCTCGTTTTTTGACGATTTTTTCAGGTCCAAGATTTTCAAAATCGAATAAAAAAGGAACAAAATTTTTCCATGGGACCAAAAACATCTGGTAGATATCACTCCCCTCTATCAGAAACAATTATAAAATCAATTTCGAGAGAAATTTCATAAAGACCCCCCCTGCCCCCTCAAAATCAATGTAAGTACTTCTAATATATAAAATAAATGTCTCTAATATTATCAAATTTGAAACGCACTATTATCAAAATACACTCACCGCCATAGTATTCAAGTTTAGCATTATACTTTGCTTTAGTTAGTTTTAGTTTGTGTTGATTGTATGTAGTATAACGAGTCCGCTTTTCAGTGCATGTCATACAAGGGCATTTTCCTCCCTTAGCGTCAGTTTCATCATAGGAGCACAATTTTTTTCTCACTTTGAACCATTTATCATAAAGGTCACGATTATGTACGATTTTCTCCAATAATTCATCAGTTACCCAAGGTTTTTCAGCTCTTTTCCTCCTTGATGCTGTTGCTGAAAATTGTGCCAAACGTTTTATAGTTTTGCAGACAAGTTTTATATTTAGGCAATTGCATGATTGTGAATTACATACTTTCTGTAAACACAATGGGACATAATGTACAACCTCTTGATTGCCAGCCACAAAAAACACAAATATAACCCAAAATCAGTTCACGATTGTACTCACTTTGATTTGCAGATTTTTTGTTTCCAACACTTGCAGTTGATTGATTGTTATCAATGGGTGATATTAAGGAGTCCTCTTTGTAATGATGAGATGCTGATTTTGGACTATCTGAAAGCAAATCTGAACACCTCAACAATAGCTCATTACTAAGATTTGACTTCTTTTTAAAAGAAGTTTGATACATTTTTAGAACTTCTCCGTATGTCTTGTTAGCAAATCTCGAGTCTATATTTAGATGGTGTTCTGTTGTTGGTATAGGTGGATTATGAGGATCTATTTGCGGCAATACACTTGATGAAGGAGCTGAGGAAAATGAAAATCCAGGATAGCAGGTGGAAAATGGTAACATATCTAAAATCAAATAGATGGTCAACATCATAAATTTTGTAATAAAATAACAATTCAGTTTGCAATTTATGATATTATTGATTAGTAATAATAATAATGATAAATCTATAAAATTACATAATTGCAACAATTATGGCCCCTTTTAGAGGGCAGAATATGTGTCTTTGCGGAAGTATCCTGGTATAATACATAGTGAAGGTCATTCAAACAATATTATATATATATACATTCAATTAAATCAAGTGATGCGATTGGCAGAGCACGATAAACAGGTAATGGAAATTTTTCACTGCTACCAATATTATATGAAATAGCAACAACTAAATATATATACACATCTACTCCATCACAGGTGCAGGGATGAGGTTGTAAGAGATTTCTGATAGAGAAGTCTCATATTTTATGTCGGGGGCTAGGTGGCCTAGTGGTTAGAGCATCCGCCTTCTACGCAGAAGGTTTAGGGTTCGAATCCCAGTGTCACCTAGTCTAGGGAGTAGCTAAGGATCCATTGGATCTATGTGATCTCCTCGGTCGACTCAGCCGAATAATAGGAAACTTAATTGAGGGTTAAATGAGGAGGGGTACCTGTTAAAAGTTCAAGAAACTTCCTAGGATACCCCTGTAAACATATTACTATTAACTATTACTATTACTATTAACTATTAGAGCTAAAATTAACAGGCTCTCAAACGACATTACTAAACGGTTGAAAACATTGAGAGTTGAGTTAGCAAACAGCCTAGCTGACTCTATAGCCACCATAGACGAAGGACGGAGAATGTTTGAAGCTGCTCGTCAACTATCAGGCAAACAGAAAACGGGTGCAGGCTCTGTGTCTGTTTTCAACACTGACAACCAACTGGTAGATAATGAACGAGACAAGGCTGAAATCACTCGCCAGTATTTCGAAGAACACTACACTGGACCTGACAGTGAACCACCACTAGAACCGTTCACAGGTAACCCTAGGCCCCTTCAAAACCCCATTACAGCGTTTGAAGTTGAGCTTGCGGCCAAGAAAATCAAGAACGGTAAAGCTGTTGGACCAGATGGGATCCCAAACGAATTTCTTAAACACTCTCCTGAAATCTTTTTTTCCACATTTGCACAACTTACTAATCGATCCTTTGAGCTCCATGAACATGTACCTTCTTTCACAGAGGGATACCTTACTCCGCTCCAAAAACCTGGAAAGCCACTAGGCCCCCCTAAGAGTTTGCGCCCACTTTGCCTACTAAACGGTACTAGAAAGATATTGTCCATGATAGTCTTAAAGCGCATCCAAAGGCAAGTATCTCAGTACACTGGTCCTTGGCAGAATGCCTATAAACCTGGCCATAGTTGTGCAAATATCGTTTGGACCCAGCGAATACTAGTGTCAGTTGTCAAGGAAAAACGCTGGTCTCTTCATAAGATGGGCATTGACATGTCCTCTGCTTTTGATACCATAAAGAGGTCGGTATTACTTGACATTTTAGCTGATGCTGGTTGTAGTGAGGACGACATTCGACTGGTAAGGTATTTGCTCGCAAATACTAAACTGAAGATCAAAGTGAACTCAACAATATCGGGAGAGTTTATTGTCACGATTGGAGCTTTTCAAGGCGACAGTTTGTCTGGAAACTTGTTCACTCTATATCTGGCAGCAGCACTTTACCACCTGCGTGCTGTTATGTCCTATCTAAGACCTAACCCTCCCATAGCTGAGAATCTGTTACCCCTCGAGTGGGAGTACGCAGATGATGTTGATTTTACTGATGAGGATAAAAGCAATTTGGAGTCTTTGTTGCCAATATGTAAAGAGATATTGGAAGAGTGGAATCTTTTTGTCAATGAGTCAAAAACCGAGTTCACCCACTTCTATCTGGCCGGCAAGAACGAGGTTGATAACAAAGGAGAGACACTCAGAGGTAGAGAACCTTGGAGGTCATCTATCTCTTTAGGCTCTAAGTTGTGTAGCATCGAAGATGTCAAGAGACGATGTATACTTGCTAACATTGCTTTTCAGAACTACAAAAAAGTCTGGGAACAAGGTAGACGTATACCCTTGAAGATTCGACTCAAGATATATGAAGCACAAGTTGTTTCAATACTGATGTATAATTGCAACAGTTGGGCAACATCTAAACAACTCCTTCAAAAACTTGATGTCTGCCACAGGAATCATCTCCGTACGATCATCGGCATGACCTACCCTAATGTCATACGAAATGTGACTCTATACAAACGCTGCGAAGTTGTTCCACTAAGTGAGCGTGTTGCTCGTGCACGGTGGAGAATGCTCGGTCACATCCTCCGCAGTGATAATAACTCACCTGCCCAGCTTGCCTTACATTTTGCTGTAGAGAGTCAGAGTTTGATGAGAGGTAGAGTCGGACGACACCAGTCAAACTTGTTAAAAACTATTTTGAACGATTTAAGTGACAGAAACTTTAGACTTGTAAATACAGACGATTTATACCATTTAAGACTTTTTGCAACAGATAGAAAAGCATGGAGAGAGTTAAGCATGATTTAGTTTATTCTGTGTTATTTTTCTCTTGGTGACTTATCAGGTCATCAAGATGTTCTTTATGTTCTATTTTTGATTTGAATAAAGTTATTTAATAAATAATTAACTATTATGTCCATTTTCTTGCCTCTGTAGCCTCGTAGAGCAATAATAGCATTGCACTGGAGTCTGTGCAAGGAATACGGCTTCCCACGCGACGCAGTAAAAGGTGGTTCGAACACCGGGCAGAGAAGGTGCTGGAGAACGAAAAAGTCAAGATATTGTGGGACTTCCATGTCCAGTCGGACTGTTAGACTTAGCAGAATACTAATCATTATATATTCATAGCATGAGAACCGGTTGAAGTTTGTAGAAAGAAGATTAAGTTTGTAGAAAGAAGATTTATGTTATTGTAGAGTATCAACCGGTACGTATTCCTTTAAACTATATATTTACAATGATCTATATACTATTATATATTTACAATGGATAATTGGAACTTGATATAACTATTTGAGTTTATATTATTGGTGTAATAAATCCTATTTATTACAGGTTCTGTTTCTATTTCAAACCCAGCGAGTTTCTCTTGTAAACAACTCAAGTCCTGTGAACACATATTAACAGTGGTAGCAGTTCAGTTAACTTGTGAGAGACGACAGATCCACCGAAGAAGAACCAGAGGAAAGGAGAGAAAAGGTAATTGGAAGAAATTGTTATAGACTGTTCAGTTAATTTAAAGAAGAAAGAGACTAACTAGAAAGTATTGAACTGATTCAAGTGTTGAAAGTAATTAAAACTCAGTGTTAGTTAGTTATAGTCAGTGTACATTTGTTTGTGTCAGTGTACAGTCTAGTAGTTTTGTGTTTGTAGTAATTGTCACGTTCATTCACATTATGAGCGAGAAGATACCGAATTTAGAGGATGACAGCGACTACAGCCGTTGGAAGAAAGCAGTCAAAGTGTGGCAGTTGGTGTTAGAATCTTAATTCTATTTGTAGCTTGTTTTTGTACTTCATATTACTAACCCTGTATCTCACTTTAGCAAAGGTTTAGTTCCAGTGATTGTATATACAGTGTTGGGGTAAAGGGACTCCAGAAGGCAGACAAGGCTCGACTCCAGACTCTAGTTGAAGTAACAGAAGAGAGAGGAGTGTCACAGCAATAGCAGCAAATCTGGGGAAACTTTGAAATACACCAATTTGAAGCATTTAACCCCCCCTTAAAAATCAAAGATTATGAATTTTAGTAATCTGATTATTTACATAGGTCCAAAAATGTCATAGCTTCATGATAGTGCAACGAAAAAAATCTCAGAACATTTTGGTGCTGAGTTAGGTGGTTAAGTAGTCGAAAAATGACTGATTTGTTAGTGGACATTTTTTATACCTCTAACACCCAAACCCTTACTACAGTGAAGATATAAGTACTACAGTTAATATTGATGGTCATTATTGAACAAAAATGGTTCATTGACACATAGTTGAAGAAGGAAATTAAAAAAATTAATAAATGTGGTCTGTGGAGTGGTTTATTTGTTTATGTTATAGTGTACGCGTGCGCGCGCTAGCGCGTACTTAACCATCTGTAGGCCAACATATTTAGTCTAGGCTTAAATTCTTTATATATTATGTCACCACTATGGTGCCCAATACTTTTAGTGAAGGTTTGATGTAGAACAGTTAACCACCAACTGTGGTATATCAAAAAAACCATGTTTGTACGCGTGCGCGCGCTAGCGCGTACTTAACCACCTGGTATGGCACAGCATTGAAATATCACCATAATTTCAAAAGCAGAGGTCACCATTCAGGTGCCCAAAACTTTTGACTACGGTCCCAATACCATAAAACCTTAGATGTGGCCTCAATGTGGTTAAAACATGTTTATTTTGGACTTTCGGTCAACAGAAGCCATCACAAATTAACCATTATTCAGCAACCTCCGAACTTTTTGTGCCTTATTTTGTTTTTATATTTGATTATGAGAGATAGCTGGAGGATAATAAGTGATTTTAAAGATAATGCAACAAAATGTGTGGCCGTATGGTGGTTAAAACGACCAAGAACACTGATTTTGGTCAATTTTAGACCTTTATTAACCATGATGGACGCAACATAGGACTCAGCAATGTTTCTGGTCATATAAATGAGCAGGTAGTTATATCTAGATAATGTAGCATGGCCAGCTATAGCTTTACAAAGCTAATATGTGCTCTAAAAATGGTTAATTAGTGCAAATATAGGGTATTTTCGAGACATTTTAACCACCTTAGCTGCACATTGATCGGAATGCATGAACTTGGGGTCAATTATGGATTTGCAAACAAATATACAGTCATTTGGATAGCAAACCATTATCTGAAGTTCATATTGTGGTTAATTTTCACTTTAATAGATGCCTTGTTCAACAGCCTAGCAAGTAATATAGCCCTTTTAACCACTTTTATGACAACATTTCTTGATAACTTTTATCAAGACCCTTCAAATGTCCTTTGTTGACCATAAAATGTT